AGGCAGTTTTGGCACTGGTTCGATGTGGAATCCTCTGTTAGTACACCGTGTTCAACTTGTATTAACGCTGGTCTCCGTCCCCTTTGCAGCTTTAGCTCGGGCTGACCTTGGACCAGCCCCTAGTTTATGCACCTATAGGCTTAGACTTCCTCTCTAGGTATACATTTATTAATGCATATCACTAACTCAACCCCCGGGGCATCGCTCCCCGGATTTTTTGTTTCCCTCCTCTTGCAGGTTTGCAGTATTACAGGATGGGTCTGGATCATGAGCGTGACAGAGCCTGTTGCCGTGGTCCTGCTCGAAGCCCATCGTAACGTCTTTGGAGTAACAGGGACATTTTCTGACACCATCATGGATCCTTCATTTTCATGTAGGTCAACTTTGTCATTTTTTTTGTCTTTGCAGAAATTGCAGTGTTTTTTTTTCTACAAAAAGTTGATGTTTGATTGATTTGGTGGTGTAGACCACCCTTGCTTATTTTTAGTGCACTCAGGAACAAAAGTAAGGGTGTCTTTCTTTTCCGTCCATTTGGGCACCCGCGTCTCCAATGTAAAGCCCTAGAATTGTAGACAGATTGTACATTTGGAAAGTTCAAGTCCCTAACGGTGAGTTAGTGATATGCATTAATGAATCTATACATCGAGAGGAAGTCTAAGCCTATAGAAGCATAAACTAGGGGCTGGTCAAAGGTCAGCCCGAACTAAAGATGCAAAGGGGACAGAAACCAGCATTAGTACACGGTGTTCAACTTGTATTAACAGAGGATTCCACATCAAACCAGCGCCAAAACTGCCTTCGCCACCTCAGACCGCAAAAACAACCACGTTCACCACCTCAGACCGCCAAAACTACCGCCTTCACCACCTCAAACCACCGCTGAGATGGTCAACGTGGTGATTTTGGTGGTCTGAGGTGGTGAAGGCAGTTTTGGCGCTGGTTTAATGTGGAATCCTCTGTTAGTACACAGTGTTCAACTTGTATTAACGCTGGTCTTTGTCCCCTTTGCAGCTTTAGCTCGGGCTTACCTTGGACCAGCCCCTAGTTTATGCTCTTATAGGCTTAGACTTCCTCTCTATGTATAAATTCATTAATGTGTATCACTAACTCCCCGTTAGGGACTTGAATTTTCCAAATGTACAAACTGTGTACAATCCTAGGACTTTACATTGGAGACGCGGATGCCCAAATTAACATACAGAAAGTTACCCTTACTTTTGCCCCTGAGGGCACTAAAAATAAGCAAGGGTGGTCTACACTTAGACTTCCTCTGTCTACAATCATTAATGCATATCATTAACTCAACCCCCGGGGCATCGCTCCCCGGAGTTTGTGTCCCTCCTCTTTTAGGTTTTGAAATATTACAGGATGGGTCTGGATAATGAACCGTGACAGAGCCTGTTGCCGTGGTCCTGCTCGAATTCCATCGTAACGTCTTTGGAGTAACAGAGACATTTTCTGACACCATCATGGATCCTTCATTTTCATGTAAGTCAACTTTGTCATTGTTATTGTCTTTGCAGAAATTGCAGTGTTTTTTTTCACCAAAAAGTTGATGTTTAATTGACTTAAACGCACTTTTTGAAGCATTGAACGTGGTTGTTATGGGGTTGTTTGTGAATGTGGTAGTTTTGGCTGTCGTTTGAGGTGGTCAAGACGGTTGTGTTTGCGGTCGTTTTTTGAAATGGTGATGGCGTTGTGTTTGAGGTGGTGAACACAGTTGTTTTGGCGGTCGTTTGAGGTTGTGGTTTTGGCGGTCGCTTAAGGTGGTGGTTTTGGCAGTCGCTTAAGGTGGTGGTTTTGGCGGTCGCTTAAGGTGGTGGTGTTGGCGGTCTGAGGTGGTGAACGTGGTTGTTTTGGCGGTCTGAGGTGGCGAAGGCAGTTTTGGCGCTGGTTTGATGTGGAATCCTCTGTTTGTACACAGTGTTCAACTTGTATTAACGCTGGTCTCTGTCCCCTTTGCAGCTTTAGCTCGGGCTGACCTTGGACCAGCCCCTAGTTTATGCTCCTCTAGAATTAGACTTCCTCTCTAGATATACATTTATTAATGCATATCACTAACTCAACCCCCGGGGCATCGCTCCATGGAGTTTTTGTTTCCCTCCTCTTGCAGTATTACAGGATGGGTCTGGATCATGAACCGTGACAGAGCCTGTTGCCGTGGTCCTGCTCCAAACCCATCGTAACGTCTTTGGAGTAACAGGGACATTTTCTGACACCATCATGGATCCTTCATTTTCATGTAGGTCAACTTTGTCATTTTTATTGTCTTTGCAGGAATTGCAGTGTTTTTTTTTCTACAAAAAGTTGATGTTTGATTGATTTAGTGGTGTAGACCACCCTTGCTTATTTTTAGTGCACTCAGGAACAAAAGTAAGGGTGTCTTTCTTTTCCGTCCATTTGGGCACCCGCGTCTCCAATGTAAAGCCCTAGAATTGTACACAGAATGTACATTTGGAAAATTCAAGTCCCTAACGGTGAGTTAGTGATATGCATTAATGAATCTATACATCGAGACGAAGTCTAAGCCTATAGGAGCATAAACTAGGGGCTGGTCCAAGGTCAGCCTGAACTAAAGCTGCAAAGGGGACAGAGACCAGCATTAGTACACGGTGTTCAACTTGTATTAACAGAGGATTCCACATCAAACCAGTGCCAAAACTGCCTTCACCACCTCAGACTGCCAAAATCACCAAGTTGACAACCTCAGGGGTGGTTTGAGGTGGTGAACGTGGTGGTTTTGGCGGTCTGAGGTGGCGAACGTGGTTGTTTTGGCGGTCTGAGGTGGCGAAGGCAGTTTTGGCGCTGGTTTAATGTGGAATCCTCTGTTAGTACACAGTGTTCAACTTGTATTAACGCTGGTCTTTGTCCCCTTTGCAGCTTTAGCTCGGGCTTACCTTGGACCAGCCCCTAGTTTATGCTCTTATAGGCTTAGACTTCCTCTCTATGTATAAATTCATTAATGTGTATCACTAACTCCCCGTTAGGGACATGAATTTTCCAAATGTACAATCTGTGTACAATCCTAGGACTTTACATTGGAGACGCGGATGCCCAAATGGACAGACAGAAAGTTACCCTTACTTTTGTCCCTGAGGGCACTACAAATAAGCAAGGGTGGTCTACACTTAGACTTCCTCTATCTGTATACAATCATTAATGCATATCACTAACTCAACCCCGGGGCACCGCTCCCCGGAGTTTGTGTCCCTCCTCTTGCAGGTTTTGAAATATTACAGGATGGGTCTGGATCATGAACCGTGACAGAGCCTGTTGCCGTGTTCCTGCTCGAAGCCCATCGTAACGTCTTTGGAGTAACAGGGACATTTTCTGACACCATCATGGATCCTTCATTTTCATGTAGGTCAACTTTGTCATTTTTATTGTCTTTGCAGGAATTGCAGTGTTTTTTTTCTCCAAAAAGTTGATGTTTAATTGATTTAAACGCACTTTTTGAAGCATTGAACATGGTTGTTATGGGGTTGTTTGTGAATATGGTAGTTTTGGCTGTCGTTTGAGGTGGTCAAGGCGGTTGTGTTTGCGGTCGTTTTTTGAGATGGTGAAGGCGTTGTGTTTGAGGTGGTGAACACAGTTGTTTTGGCGGTCGTTTGAGGTGATGGTTTTGGCGGTCGCTTAAGGTGGTAGTTTTGGCGGTCTGAGGTGGTGAACTAGGTTGTTTTGGCGGTGTGAGGTGGTTAAGGCAGTTTTGGCACTGGTTCGATGTGGAATCCTCTGTTAGTACACCGTGTTCAACTTGTATTAACGCTGGTCTCCGTCCCCTTTGCAGCTTTAGCTCGGGCTGACCTTGGACCAGCCCCTAGTTTATGCACCTATAGGCTTAGACTTCCTCTCTAGGTATACATTTATTAATGCATATCACTAACTCAACCCCCGGGGCATCGCTCCCCGGATTTTTTGTTTCCCTCCTCTTGCAGGTTTGCAGTATTACAGGATGGGTCTGGATCATGAGCGTGACAGAGCCTGTTGCCGTGGTCCTGCTCGAAGCCCATCGTAACGTCTTTGGAGTAACAGGGACATTTTCTGACACCATCATGGATCCTTCATTTTCATGTAGGTCAACTTTGTCATTTTTATTGTCTTTGCAGAAATTGCAGTGTTTTTTTTTTCTACAAAAAGTTGATGTTTGATTGATTTGGTGGTGTAGACCACCCTTGCTTATTTTTAGTGCACTCAGGGGTAAAAGTAAGGGTGTCTTTCTTTTCCGTCCATTTGGGCACCCGCGTCTCCAATGTAAAGCCCTAGAATTGTACACAGAATGTACATTTGGAAAATTCAAGTCCCTAACGGTGAGTTAGTGATATGCATTAATGAATCTATACATCGAGAGGAAGTCTAAGCCTATAGGAGCATAAACTAGGGGCTGGTCCAAGGTCAGCCTGAACTAAAGCTGCAAAGGGGACAGAGACCAGCATTAGTACACAGTGTTCAACTTGTATTAACAGAAGATTCCACATCAAACCAGCGCCAAAACTGCCTTCACCACCTCAGACTGCCAAAATCACCAAGTTGACAACCTCAGCGGTGGTTTGAGGTGGTGAACGTGGTGGTTTTGGCGGTCTGAGGTGGTCAACGCGTTAGTTTTGGCGGTCTGAGGTGGCGAACGTGGTTGTTTTGGCGGTCTGAGGTGGCGAAGGCAGTTTTGGCGCTGGTTTAATGTGGAATCCTCTGTTAGTACACAGTGTTCAACTTGTATTAACGCTGGTCTTTGTCCCCTTTGCAGCTTCAACTCGGGCTTACCTTGGACCAGCCCCTAGTTTATGCTCCTATAGGCTTAGACTTCCTCTCTATGTATAAATTCATTAATGTGTATTACTAACTCCCTGTCAGGGACTTGAATTTTCCAAGTGTACAATCCTAGGACTTTACATTGGAGACGCGGATGCCCAAATGGACAGACAGAAAGTTACCCTTACTTTTGTCCCTGAGGGCACTACAAATATGCAAGGGTGGTCTAGACTTCCTCTATCTGTATACAATCATTAATGCATATCACTAACTCAACCCCGGGGCACCGCTCCCCGGAGTTCGTGTCCCTCCTCTTGCAGGTTTTGAAATATTACAGGATGGGTCTGGATCATGAACCGTGACAGAGCCTGTTGCCGTGTTCCTGCTCGAAGCCCATCGTAATGTCTTTGGAGTAACAGGGACATTTTCTGACAACATCATGGATCCTTCATTTTCATGTAGGTCAACTTTGTCATTTTTATTGTCTTTGCAGGAATTGCAGTTTTTTTTTTCTCCAAAAAGTTGATGTTTAATTGATTTAAACGCACTTTTTGAAGCATTGAACGTGGTTGTTATGGGGTTGTTTGTGAATATGGTAGTTTTGGCTGTCGTTTGAGGTGGTCAAGGCGGTTGTGTTTGCGGTCGTTTTTTGAGATGGTGAAGGCGTTGTGTGTGATGTGGTGAACACAGTTGTTTTGGCGGTCGTTTGAGGTGATGGTTTTGGCGGTCGCTTAAGGTGGTAGTTTTGGCGGTCTGAGGTGGTGAACTAGGTTGTTTTGGTGGTCTGAGGTGGTTAAGGCAGTTTTGGCGCTGGTTCGATGTGGAATCCTCTGTTAGTACACAGTGTTTAACTTGTTTTAATGCTGGTCTCCATCCCCTTTGCAGCTTTAGCTCAGGCTGACCTTGGACCAGCCCCTAGTTTATGCTCCTATAGGCATAGGCTTAGACTTCCTCTCTATGTATACATTCATTAATGCATATCACTAACTCAACCCCCGGGGCATCGCTCCCCGGAGTTTATGTGTCCCTCCTCTTGCAGGTTTGCAGTATTACAGGATTGGTCTGGATCATGAACCGTGACTAGGCCTGTTGCCGTGGTCCTGCTCGAAGCCCATCAAGACCCCGAGATACTTGAACTCCTTCACTTGGGGTAAGGACTCAATCCTTACTTTTAGTGGACAGTCCATTGGTTTCCTGCTGAGAATTCAATTATGAAAGGAAAAATATTACAAACAGCATCAATGTACACAATATAAAACCAACCCTGCCTCCATCCTGCCAATTAATTCCACCCGGACCGATAAAACAGGGTTCGCCGTTTCCCTGGGGACTCTTTACTGTGACGGACCCTGGGAACTATGACGGGAGAACAGGAAGAGGTGAGTTATGATAACTACTGCAGGGATGATATGACAAATATATAAGGCTTAGTCTAAACAACTTATAAATGACTAGAATCGCTAATTACGCTTTTTTCATCCCCATAGGTTGGCGTGCCAATCCAGCCCCCCGACATTTAGGATTAATGTGTTTCTCATACTGACGTCAACCATTCAATAAACGGGTTTGAACGCCACACACGCTCTTGTCATCTTTTATAAATTAAATGCTTCCTGTGCAATGCTTTACCGTGGAACAAATGAATATGCTTCGCCAAGAGTGAAGCTATATAATATGGAATCAAATCAAGTTTTATTTATATAGCACATTTATAAACGATTTTTGGTCGAGCCATAGTGCTGTACATATAATAAAATAGCCTACAGTAGAGACACTTTACAGCAAATACAACAGCACAGATTGTTCAGAATATCAGTATGAGAAAAACGACATCCTTAGACCCTCACATCGTACTGTAACAACCGGTGTTTATGTGACCGGTAGGCACTCACGGTAACACCCACCCAGCCAGTGATTCGCTGTTGGTTGGCGCCTCCATTTCCTTTTCCCCCTATTTAGTTAGACGGAGCAGGAAGGGAAAGGTGTGTGCAGCAAGAGGGATCGGCGGAGCAACACGCTCATCTGTTAGCAACCAGCAGTTAGGTCGTTTAAAGTCCGTACCGTTTGTCTGATCCACCGTCCACCATCATCCGTCATCATACCCTTGCTTCACGTTCCTGGATTATTGTGTACAAAGCTGAAAGGAGCCGCTCATCTCCCAACCACCTTAAAAACCAGGACTGGATTTTCAAAACCGACTGGATTGCTAAAACTGACTGACATTCTCCCGTGGTAATTGACTGTTTTATTTATTTTGAAGGAAACCCGAAGTGGAACGTTTTGAACTGTGGGAAGACGAATTGTTTGGGGGGGGGTTATTCAAAAATACACTTGCTATTTGTGATAGCAATTTTTCCGGTCAATGACGGGAGAGTTTTGAAAGTGACATAACACTGTTTTCACACATTTAAAAAAACACTTAAACAATGTTTACCCAGGATTCAGGCACCTTCCCTGGCTTGTAAATGTGGTGATGCGCCCTGGAGGTATCAGACTATTTAAAACATGTATACCAGGATTCAATCACTTTTCCTCGCTTGCAAAGTGCTGTGAAGCAGCCTGTTCTCTGGGTGCAGTCTGGGTGTGCATGGAGGGGTTTAGTCCGAGTGAGGAGTGCTCAAGTGTGGGAGGATGTGTAAGGCAGGGGAGGGTAAAAAAAAAAGTTAAAGTGTGAACCTCCAGCAGGGCAGGTGGTGCTGTGAATAAGGCCGAATATTGATGCTGGTGTGCGGACAGTAAAGCACCGCAAAATCCACCCCCCTTTAAGATTACCAGGGGCATGAGGTTCTGTAGGGTGTGAACATCTGGGTTTAGTCCGTGGGCCCGGGGTCTCACGGTGTGCGATGTTATGGAAGTGCGCATGTTAGGGAGAGATGCTGGAGCTGCCTAGTCCGTCGTTTGGGCCTCTGTGAGGGGCTACAAATAGGTGATTTGCCTGGTCTATTTCATGATTTTCGAAATTCTCGAAAAAACGGCTAAGTGCCAACGGAGGAGGGGCTCAAAAAAGCGCAAGTCTTCGGTGCTTCCGGCACACATTTGCACTACCCCGTTGCATTTTACAACGGAGAGGGGAATCGAGACCTCCCTTCCTCCGTCCAAAAAATTCATTCATCTTTTCCAAGCTACCATCTGCACGAAATCAGAAACCCGGTTTTTGAGAGCACTTGGAAAAAAACGGGCTATTTCACATGATGGGGAAATCATGGAGGAATGCATCTGCTACATGAGCACTTTGGATCGGATACAATTGTTGCCTTGAGGACCCCCAATCATGGTTCTTACCAAACTTTAAGTTTTTGAACTGGTCTCTGGAGGAATTCAAGGGGAGTTGTCACGGAATTATGAGAGACTATTTGGGATACAATTTCTCCATTTTCACCCCTTTCCTCTGGTTCTCCCAAAATATAACAGAGTATTTCCAGACTCTGGAGGAAAGTAAGGGGAGTTGTCAAGGGACTCTACCCGTTATGATGCACTATTTTCGGATACTTTTTTTTCACTTTCATGCATCTTTCCATGGATGTATTATTATATTTATTTAGGGTTAGGTTGGGGAAGAGCGGAGGAGCCCTGCGTGGTGCACTGGCTCTTGGTAGATAGGTGTTTAAAAAAACATTAAAAACCTCCGTAAACATAAACCTTATAAAAACCCTTTTAAAAGCATCATAAAAGCTTCGTAAGGACAAGACCGTTTCAAAGGAATGGTGCAGAGCGGAGCCGGACCACGGAACGGCGGCAGAGTATGTTAAAAAGCAGATCTCCCCGTCTCAGGATCTGGAGAGTGGTGTGTGTGTGTGTGTGTGTGCGGAGCTTGTCCCAATGGAATCTATAAAATACCCTAAATGATAGGGGGATCTAAAATGGCCAATTTAAAAGTGATTCCAGTTCCATTAGTAAGCCATGCATAGAGTAAGTGCAGTTAAAACACAAGTGCAATGATAAAAATACAAATAATTAAAACAATCTCCCCAGTAGCCTAATATTAATTTAAAAGTAAAGGGAGTGTTAAAATTAACTAATAATAATAAAATAAAGGAAGGCACACTGGGTTAGTAAAATCGTATAAAATGAACTGGATGTCACTGAAAAACAAAAACCACTCAAATCAAGGTCGGGTAAGTCTAAACACTACCAACATTATTTCCCCGGGAAAGTTTACTCTAAGGTACTCGAAAGGAGGGTCAGGCCGATTGTCGAACCTCAGATTGAGGAGGAACAATGCGGATTCCGTCCTGGTGGTGGAACGACGGATCAGCTTTTTACTCTCGCAAGGATCCTGGAGGGGGCCTGGGAGTACGCTTATCCGGTCTACATGTGTTTTGTAGACTTGGAGAAGGCGTATGACCGAGTTCCCAGGGAGTTACTGTGGAAGGTGCTGCGGGAGTATGGGGTGAGGGGGTCTCTACTCAGGGCCATCCAATCTCTGTACTCTCAAAGCGAGAGCTGTGTCCGGGTCCTCGGCAGTAAGTCGGACCCATTTCCGGTGAGGGTTGGCCTCCGCCAGGGCTGCGCTTTGTCACCAATCCTGTTTGTAATATACATGGATCGGATTTCGAGGCTTAGTCGTGGGGGAGGGGGTCTGCAGTTCGGTGGACTAAGGATTGCACCACTGCTTTTTGCAGATGATGTGGTTCTAATGGCTTCATCGGTCTGCGACCTTCAGCACTCACTGGATCGGTTCGCAAACGAGTGTGAAGCGGCTGGGATGAGGATCAGCACCTCCAAATCTGAGGCCATGTTTCTCAGCAGGAAACCGATGGACTGTCCACTCCATGTAGGGAATGAGTTCTTACCCCAAGTGGAGGAGTTCAAGTATCTCGGGGTCTTGTTCTCGAGTGAGGGAACAATGGAGCTTGAGATGGGCCGGAGAATCGGAGCAGCGGGAGCGTACTGCAGTCGCTTTAGTCGTTGTGACGAAAAGGGAGCTGAGCCAGAAGGCAAAGCTCTCTGTCTACCGGGCCATTTTCGTTACCTTCACCTATGGTCATGAAGGATGGGTCATGACCCAAAGAACGAGATCGCGGATACAAGCGGCCGAGATGGGTTTTCTCCGCAGGGTGGCTGGCGTCTCCCTTAGGGATAAGGTGAGAAGTTCGGTCATCAGGGAGGGACTCGGAGTTGAGCCGCTCCTCCTTCGCGTCGAAAGGAGCCAGTTGAGGTGGTTCGGGCACCTAGTTAGGATGCCACCTGGGCGCCTCCCTAGGGAGGTGTTCCAGGCACGTCCAGCTGGGAAGAGACCGAGGGGTAGACCTAGGACCAGGTGGAGGGATTATATCTCTTCGCTGGCCTGGGAGCGCCTTGGGATCCCCCATCAGAGCTGGTTGATGTCGCCAGGGAAAATAAAGTTTGGGGCTCTCTGCTGGAACTGCTACCTCCGAGACCCGACCACGGATAAGCGGGAGAAGATGGATGGATGGATTACTTCTTACATGTTTTATAATTTTGTTGTATATGAATGCACCTGCCTATTGCCTGAACAAGTTAGATGCCGCCTATCACAGCGCACTGAGATTTGTCACAAATTGTAAAGCACTTACACATCACTGTACCCTGTATGCCAAGGCAGGTCTGCCATCACTTACTGTAAAGAGGCTCAGTCATTGGTACACGTTTATTTATAAAGCTTTGTTGGGTAAACTCCCATATTATATCTGCTCTCTGAGAACACAGAGAGTTGCAAGCAGCTATTGTCTGAGATCGCATGATGTAGTATTGTTAGATGTGCCAAGAGCAAGGACTGTAAGACAGCTTTTATGTGCAGCTCCACTTGCTTGGAACAATCTTCAGCAAGAATTGAAACTGAGCGATCTCATTCCTCTGCATGTTTTTAAAGCTAGGCTAAATGAAATGCTCGTTGATACTATGGCCACTTGTAAATGTCTATAACTATGTAAATGTATCCTGTAAATATAATGTATAATGTCCTTTATTGTTTAATGTTTCATGTGGAACCTATATGCTGCAGGTCTCCCTTGAAAAAGAGATCTATGATCTCAATGGGACCAATCTGGTTAAATAAAGGTTTGAAATGAAATGAAATTTGAAATGTATATATGTGTATGTTTTTATCTGATAATGATCAAAGCCACATGAGGAGGGACGTTTGTATTTGTTTATTTATATTTATTTTAAATTATTGTATTACCTGGAGGCCAGAAAATCAATCGTAGAGAAGAACTTTTCACCTACCTGCTACCCTTTTAAATAAACAGAGCCAAAAAACACCTACCCTTTGGAATCTTTTAGACTTACCCGACCTTGATTTGAGTGGTTTTTGTTTTTCAGTGACATCCAGTTCATTTTATACGATTTTACTAACTCAGTGTGCCTTCCTTTATTTTATTATTATTAGTTAATTTTAACACTCCCTTGACTTTTTTAATTAATATTAGGCTACTGGGGAGATTGTTTTAATTATTTGTATTTTTATACAAATTCAATGTTGGTATACAGTGAGACTATGTCTATGGAGAAAATGAGTGTGGCTGGTACTGTGAGGTTTTTTTATTTTGTTAACAAAATCATAAGTGTCTCTGAGATAACGGGTGGAGTTTTGATAGGGGATGAATAA